AATGCAACTATAATATTACCAATTAGTACGTCAAAAAAGAATTTAATTCTTTTGTTTCATCATCGTAGGATTAAAATGCGGGAAATGTAAAAATTAGTATTTTTTTAAGGATTGTTCTAGTTCTATCTAATTATCTTGTATCGTGATTGAAATTACAAAGTGAAGTATTAAATGAGCAATACGGAAACAAAATTAATTCTGTGTAATGATAAATTTTGGGATAATAGGAAAAAATAGGAAATCTGATCATCGTGATACGTGCGATCGAATATCGAGCGAATTTTTAAAAAATATGAAAGGAAAGTTAGAAAGGTGGTAACTCTTCTCGTGGATTGTTCGTAGCTGTTCCTAAGTGGACTCGGAAGCTTTGGAGTTCATGGCACACAGAAACAAGTTGAATCTACGGAAAGGCACGAAGGGAAGGCCAGAAGAGCAAGTTCGTGGTTGGTTAGGGCGGGGTGGCATGAGGAGGTAGATGAGAACGAGTCACGGAGGGAGAAGCCACGTACGAGGAAAAAGGAGGGAGAATAGGTCGATACGGTAAACTATTGTCTGGTAGGTGAAGTGTTCACGAGAACCGGGCGGAAGAAAGCTTTGCGCCGGTTACGTGCATTCTCTGCTTCGCACGAAACGTGAAGATGTGACATGCTCGTCACCGCAACGATGTTCAACCGTGTCCAAGAAACCCCATCTACGTCTATATAATCTTTTGCGCCTGTTCTCTCGATCGATACCAGTGCACACGACGAATCGCTTTATGCATTATTACCGACTGAGAAGTGAGAATAATCATTCGTTCGTTCGTTCGTTGCTTCTACAATTTATTCTGTATATAATTCTATTTTTTCCAGGGTATTTTTTTTTTTAGTAATATATTCAACAAACGGTATCGATAGTATTTTTATGAAATTTTTTAAAAATCGATATTTTGTTTCGTCAATAATAAAAATAGTGAAAATTATTTTCTTAAAATAAAAATACATAATTTAAATGTAATTTAAATGTAAAATTGTTTTTTAGAATGCCATCAAAGATACGTTTTCAAGGAGGATTTGATATTTACCTGAAGAGTAAGTGAGATATTTTTCTATTTCAGGATTCGTAATTAATTTGGACACTATTGTATTCATTTCAATTTAATTCATTGGTTTAATCTAAACTAAAATTATTAAAATTTTCCTTTACTTTTGTTGAACAGATTGTTGAACAATATGTATATTAAATTAGAATCTACATATAAATTGATCTTAATAAAATTTTAAAAAGTTTCTGTATCTGTTCCATTGTAAAAGCGTCATTAGATTAGATCTTTCTTAATTTATGAACACTCAATAAGTAACAACGCCATCTACAATCGAATCATTTGGCGGGAGCATCGAAGAAATTGCGATAGTCGAAAGATGAAATTCATCACGAAAGTAACGAATCGAAGTGGAATTAGGTTATACACAATGCTAAATTTTCGTGAAGCCCAAATGCGAATTTTCGAGAATTTCGTCTCTGAAATGCAGATTTATGCTAGTACATTACGTACACAAAGATAGTTTGGCATGCGGTGGTGCACGACAATCCTACATCGAAGTGTATTTGCCGATTGTCGTCAGGGGTTGGAGAGGTAAACACAATTCCATCCTACTACATACCTTGTTCTATTCGCTACGTGTACAATCCATATATATATATATATATATATCTGCATTCGTCTAGGTATGTTTGTAACAAGGTTGCCAGCAGCGTTACTGCGAGTTTCGATCGTGAGACTAACCTTTATGCCGACGTGCGATAATTAATATTCAGATTAAATAAGCAAAATGATCGATAAATTTATATTTTACGACGAAAAAGTTTCTATTGCCGTTATATTTCTTTGAAAGAGGTATGTACGTTAACTCTTTCTTCTAATTTCTTGCATAAATTTAGTCTCGTTAATAAAAACGATTTTACGATTTTACTTTATTTTTTAGTAAAAAAAAAAAAAAAAAGGCGTAATTGAAAGAAAAAGATTATTCTTTGGAATTTATCGTGAAATATAATAAGATGGAAAAGATATACCAAGTAAAAATAATCAATAGGAAAAAACAAAGTAGAAGCGAGATTTTGTGAGACGAAACGTTCTACGTTTACTATTACCGAACTGGTTAAACAGGTTATCAGTTTATAGCCACCGTAAAGAGATTTTAAATTTCGCGGCACATGCTTGCACATTCCGCATGTCTTTTTCTTCTTGTTTTGATCGTTTCGTGGAGTTCATAGAACTATGTGTAGGATGCATTCGAGATTCACGAATCGAAGGTATTCTTATTTTTGAAAACATTTTTAATGCATTTTTTTTTTTATTATTCTTATATGTATTTTAGGTATGTAATTTCTATATTTCTATATATAATTTCTATATATTTTTAAAAATATACGTAATTAATATCATATTTTTAATAATACTTACCTTTTTTTTTTTTTTTCTATCATTTATGAACATTATGGTGTTGAAATGATGGAGCAATGCTTTTCACGCATTGAATCAAAGCAGGAATCTTTGAAATAATATTCAAGGTTAAAATTCTTTTATTTTATAAATTCAAATAAAAATTTTGATGTTTTAAATTAAAAATATTATATAATTTCTGAAGGGAATCGTATTAACTTACTTGAGCCCTATCAATAACTGAAATCATTCGTAGTAGATATTTTATTTCCAATTTAGGAACTGAAATGCCCATATAATAAAAAATATTTGTATCGTAATAATAATTATTATTAAATTGGGAAACGAGGGTTACGCTAAAAAGTCACTGCTAAGTATACAAAATGAAGAAAAAAAACTCGCAAAAAGAAAAACAAAAAAACGAACATAGACTTTCTTTTTTTTTTTTTTTGAATATTAATCATTCTCTAATTTTCTCTCTGTATTCTCATTCATACATTCACGTCTCATCGCGCGGATTTGATATCTCTCATTCTTTATCTTCTTTTTTTCTTCTTTCTTTCTTCACATACATACGCATACATTCTTTCAATTTCTTCTTTACAGCTCACGCACTATAATTCGAGATTAAAACAACCACGGTAACAAAACAAAAATTAATTACATAAAATCTTCCATATGGAATTTTGCACTTCCTTTTTTTTTTTTTTCCCTTTAAACTTTCTTCTACATTCTTATAGTCTCTCTAATTGATAAAGGGCTCGTTAAAAGCACATACAAACGATCGTCGTTATCGTTCGATTTTGAAAGTCACTATCTAAGCAGTTTTATGGCACGTATTCTCGTACAAGCCCTTCCTCTTTTCTTTTCTTTTTATTCTATTTTAATCTTTATTACGAGAAAAAGAAAATTTTCCTCTTCGTCATATTATTTCTTCCATTCTTTGTTTTCAGTTATTGTTTAATTAATTTCGCGGAATTTATATTGAATCGCAACAATAATAACGTATCTATTTTTGATATACACTCACACATTGAAATCAGAAGTCTTTTTACCTTCGAATACGGTTTATCAGACTTGGACGTGAAGAAGGTCTGTCTTAGATCGTATTTCTTTCGCAATACATCAACGATCTCGTTGGTTCCCGACGATTTTTCCTCAATAAATTTTCAAAAAAGAAAAAAAAAAAAACTAAGATATTTTTTCTTTTTTTTTTTAGAAATACTTCGCAACATAGCACCATTGGAACAAGAGAAGCATCTCGAGGCATATCTCATAAAAAGAAAAAAATTATTCGTCGTGAGAGAGAGAGAGAGAGAGAAGAAAAAAAGAAATAATTCATGCTCCTTTCTGCATTACGATTATCAATTGGAACGATAAAAAAAAAAATGAAAGCTTTGTATAATTTTTCGATTTACGTCGGGCTTAACTCGAAGACCTTTCGAAAAACCGCGATCCTAAGTTGCAACGACGTTCATCATTTCACTCTTGTTTCGTAAAAGAACTTCCAAACATGAACAACTTATTGTTGAAAGACATCGATATAGAAATCTGATTTTTTTTTTTTTTTTTTGTCTAGAACGGTCCGGCGAGAACCATTTACATTCTTGTACGTTTTAGGGTTACGAATGTTTTTAACGTTAATCTGATATTGTTTATTTTTTGTTATTTTTTTTTTTTTTTTTTCCTTTATCAGAGTATCCTAAAACGAACAAATTCTATCAATATGTCTACATTTAACATGGATATACCATCGGTACTTCTTTTTATTCTTCTGTTCTTCAACACGTTGGTGGCCCGCGATGTTCGATCGTTCCTCGGCAGCGATCGCGTTTATTTAATCAGTCAATTATGCGATGGTGCTTATTTTTTTTTTTTTTTTGTTAATTGAAACCAATGTACGATTCGCATGTTCTCTTTTCTATTTCTCTCTGTTTATTATTTTCGAGCATATATATATATATATATATATATATATGTGCATATACATGTATATGTATATGTATATATATACATATATACATACATATATATATATATACATACGTCGATGAAAATGAAAAGATTTTTATTATCCGCGCTTTTTTTTCATTCATTTCTTCTTTTTTTTTTTTCCCTTCCGTATATGTTTAATGTACAAGAAATTTTCTAGAATTATTCTGTAAAATATTGCGTTGCACCCTAATAAGAATATACATACATATGTATATATGTAGCGATACGACTATCGTTGGCCACACAAATAAGACAGCCTGTACATTTACTAAATCTTAACGCTCTTACGTAATGTTGAAAGATATAATGCAGGGAATTTATCTAGCTTAACGAATACGTGATTATATACATTATGTACATTATCTCGTTGCTATAATCATCGCTTACGTGCACTTATTTGTTAGAGTTGACTACAGATCAGTGTTGCGTGTATGTGTGGTGATTGGTATGTATGTGTCAATACAATGAAAATTGTCTAAACTTACACAGTAGAATAGGGTTCTCGCGATTGTTACTACGTAAGATTTGTCGTTATACAATTAAACAATTATACATTCTTGACGATCCGTCGGTTTAAAGATCTCGCGTATACACGTATATATACGTGTATATATTTTTATATATATATATATATATATGTATATGTATATATATATATTATTTTTTTTATATATATATTTCTTTTATAATTATTTATATATTTATTTAGTTATCACATCGCACGTTCGAAATAAAGGAATTCGGACTTATGATGAACAATCAAATTATTAATCTCTCGAAAAATGTACATTTTACAAAAACAATATATAAAATAATGGAGAAAAAAAAAAAAAAAAAAAAAGAAAATAAAACTAGTACTCGAACTTGTTGATTCATTAGATATTCCTAACACTCGACACTTGTAATTAATTATACACTTAAACTTTGCGAAGAGTAAACGTAGAAAAAAAGAATCGTGTTATCGTATGAAAAAGAGTCAACTGCATTCATT